GCGCCCTCCCGTCCCGTCCGCCCGACCAGTCTATTTTCAAGCCATGTGCGATGTAAAATCGATCTCCTCGCGCCGGTCGGCCCAGTGTTTGCGAGTGTAAGTGTTGGAGAGGAGAGAATCAATAGAATTGAGTGATCGCTCATCAGGGCGTGACGCCGCGCCGCGGGCGCCCCCCTCGCGACTCCGGACCCGGGGGACAGAGAGGAGGGGTAAGGGGAGTCGCTGCGCCACCGACGCGAACGTGGCCGGGCTTCCTCCCCTGAGGAGCCACCGGCTGACCATTAGGAGTGGCGGCCGGCCCTAACAGGAGCACGACTCGCCCCGCCCCGCCCCGCCACTCACCCTAACGCGGCCTGTACACAATGGCGTTCCACAAACACACGCTTCACGCGGTGTGTATTTTTACAAAGCGACGACCTCCCGTGGTCTTTCCCTCTCACTCGCTCACTCTCTTTCCTCTCCGTCTCCTCTCCTTTTCTCTCTGTTCCCGCCTTCCTTGCCAAACTCAGCACAGCGAGCCAGCCAGCCAGCCAGCCAGCCAGCAGCAGCCCCTGCTCGCCTCCGCCCCACCCCGCGCGCGACCTTCAGTTACGAGCCGCCGACCTCCGCTCGACCGACTCGCGTCCTTAGCGGTCCTTAGCGGCGGCGCCCCGCCTTGTCCTCCCGCGAGAGGCTTTCTTCCTGTTGACCGCCCCGCCCCGCCCCGTCCGTCCTGCGCACGTAACGCTCCGGCCCTCCCCCGGGGACCACCCCCACCCCAACCTAACGCCACGCCTGCACAGTCTCTCCTGCGCCGCGGAACACAGAGCAGGCGGCCGTCCGTTTTATTGGGTCCTTATGTGCTCCGGGAGCGGGGGTTGGAGGGGGGGGGGGATTTAATGAATGCATGTTGACGGCGACGGGGCAGGCAGGCAAGGCGTTGATGACATGCAACATCAGGGCATCGCAGCAACAGGTTGATGTGGCAGCCCGGTTCGGGGTGTAGAAGCGCAGCGTGGCGGGCGAGTCCACCCCCTGCCGCACGCTCGCCCAGTCCTCCTCCTCCTCCTCCTCCTAAGCCCACAGTGGACATGACACAGTTAGCGGGCGCGGCCGGCGCGCGAGCCGGGGGGAACGGGGCATGGGGAGCAGGGGGCGGCACACACAAGGAGAGCGCAAGTGTTTACGGACTGGAGCACACAGACTACTCAGGTGGACGGTGCGGGGCCCCTCCGGGGCGGCCGAGTCGAGGACGGCACACACAGGAAGAGTCAACAACCGCAGCCGCGTGTCCCCGCCCCCTTCTCCTCGTACATCACCGCAAGGCGCCCAGCTGACCGGCCGAACGGCCGAACGGCCCGCGAGGTTTACGTAGTAGTAGGCGCGAAGCGCGGTACGGGCCGAGGTGCACACAGCTCGAGCCGAGGTGGGAGGGGCGGGAGCGGCGGGCGAGCACAAAGCACTCACAGGGGGGCCTGGGCCGGCCTCGGCCCCGGGCTGGGGGAGTTAAGTGAAGGGGAGATGAGAGTGGATGGGACCCAGCCAGGCAGGCCAGGCCACTGGCCCTGCAGGGGGGGAGCAGGAGTAGGAGCAGGGCCACACTACTTGTTGAGCATAACTTCCCCGCCACAACGACCAGCACCGTCGACGGTCCTAGATGGAAGACAAGACAGTCTCTGCGATCACCATCCTACCTTGTCAGAGTCCGTGGTGTTGCCCGAGCCAAAGGAAGCCAGAGAGTTGCGATCCAAATTTTCGACGCTCTCATCAAGTGAAGTTGAATCTTCCATATCCCTGGATGAACATGAGTGACAGTTAGTGGATCGCATATCTAAAATGCGAATGCGAATGGTTGGCAGTTGAATTGAGCCAACAACTGGTAACATACCTGCTCGACCGATGGCTTGGGGCTTTTGTTTTGGCTGGACTTTTTGGAAGACTAAGTGGCAAAGCTGAACTAAAGTAAGTTTCTTGTATAACTTCCCTTAGTTTCTTGACCCACATTTGTTTAGTTTCTAGATTAGAGGCCTTCAGCACAATTCGATAATCAGATATTGGAGCCCGGCCAGTCCACACAGCAAGTTTACACTCATCGCCTTCAATGTGTTCAGTAACTCCAAGTTCAGAGGTCTGCAAGATCGAAACTCACATGAGATACTTCACAAACAAGGACAGAGATTACAACACTTAACAATGTGTACACTCACCATCAATTTGTTTTTGTAGATATATTTAGCTTTCCCATTAGAATCCTTAACTTCTTTACTGAATAATAAGTACAATTCAAAAAGGAAAATATGGCGCTCTCGTCCTTTACGAATAATTTGTTTTGGATCCCATACATGGAAGGTATCTTGTAGGATAACTTCTCCTAAACTGTCTAGGTTTTTATCACAGCCTTCTAGTAGGGACAGATGCATTGCATCATTTGCTTTCTTTGGTACATTGAGCATTACCTCCAAACCATCCTGTTAAAAAACAATAATGAAAACATGAATTACACATTTCTCTGTAGTTATAAAGATTGATTTTATGACAGAAAAATATGCTTTACCTTGATTTCTCCTTGACCCTCCTGACAACAAGACTGAAGATCCTTGAGAAGCAATTGGTATTTAGTGATTCTTTGAACTGGTTTTATTAAGTAAGCAGATATTGGGTGTTCTACTCTATGGCGTTTCTGTAGGTCCTCAAAAAAGGCCCCACCATGTTGGACCAGTAAACTATTAGATTCAGGCTTATTTTTACAATATTTAACATACATATCAAATTTGGAAGCCCATGTCACAAAACAATGCCCTACATCTTCAGGCATTGTTTCATATTTCTCTAATTCCCGAAGGAAAATGTCTCTATGAAAAGCTAAAATCTCTTCTATATTACCAAAAATTACGTCTTCACGACCGCGTAATGTTGGAGGGACTACTGCACTATTGCGCATTTCATCTAAGAAAAACCTAGCACAAATTTCTAAGTCTTTCACATAAGTACGCTCAGTTTGTAAGAGCTCCGCCATAATAAATTCTTTTCTTCTTGCAGAGCGTCTCTTCTCCTCATTCAAACCCTTGAGATCCTTTGCTGCTGCTGCCTCTTTGACTTTGGCCTCAAGAAGAGGGTCTGAATTGCGATCTATTGACAGATCCTGTTTGGTATCTTTAATTCCTAAAGAGCTTTCTAGCTGTGATCTGTACTTGTCCATACGAACACTGAAGTCTTTGTATGTTTTGTCTACAGCAGCAACCCATTGTTTTATGGACCCTGCATGAGCATGGCTTTTTTCTACTAAGCTATCTGCTAGTTGAATGAGTAATTTAACTCTGTCTCTTGTTTCCTGTTTAAAACAAATGAGTTTTAGATGCCATAAAAGAAATTAAGAAGGAAACACATGAGACCCAAATATATTTTATACCTTGGCAGTTCCTTTGAATTCGTTGTGTTCACTGAGCAATTTTTCAGTCTCTTCTCGGGTACGCCCAACAGACGTATGAGTAGATAAGTACAGCTCACCAGTGTCTTGAATCCAGTCTAGTGCTTGCTGAGCAGAGCGCTCAAAAAGAACATACTGTTGACATTGATCCAAGCGTTTTTTCCTGTGTGTCCAATTATCTAAAACTTTGTTTTCTTGACTGAGAAGTTTGTCAAGAATAGCTGAAAGAACAAAGAGAATTATGTAGATTGTAATTATTAATGACATTTATCAATTTTATCTTGAAGAGAATTAATTGAATAAAGTAACCATACTTTTCACTCTAGCATGGGCAGATCGTTGAGTGGATTCTCCTTGGAAACTGTAGAGTTGCAAGGAACGTTGAGAATACTTTAAGAATGTTTCAGCTGTTCGGCGAGCCAGAGTACAGGCCTTCAAGAACGCCTCCTTCTGTTCTTGATGCTTGTTTATCAACTGGGATATCCTATCAGCAACTGCTGGAGGAAGGGTGAAACCTGGTCCTCCAGTAGATGACTGGTCAGCTAAAAGTTTATCCATTCCACACCAATCTTCGTCACGACGATACTCACGCTCTAGACTGTCAAGAACTGAGCATACCTTTTAACAGAAAAAATAAATTAAAAATTAAAATTAGAATTTTACAACAAGTTTAGAAATAAACACTTAAACAAAACGATCTTACCTGTTCTGCCGTTTTGTAAAAATTGGATGAGGCAGTTACAAGTTTATGCCTTTCCTCTGCACAAGTCACAAGCTGTTGCCAGCGCTGTGTCACATCTTCAGCCATGTCTCTTACACTTTGAGGTTCATAGTGATTGTTACTAATCAACTGTTCTGCCCTCTGTTTCACTTGAATAGCTGATGTATGAGTCTTTTCAATAGCTACTTGGAACTGTTCATGCTCCTTCTTCAGCTGCTCCGCATCCTGAAGGCTAGTAGGTATACTAAAGCTTGCCATTAGCATTGATTCACCATTACGTATCCAGCTAATCACTTGGTTTGAATCGTTGTTAAACTGACAAAGTTGAACACACTGTTCTAATTTCACTCTCTTCAGTTCAGCCAATTCCTCAACATCCATTTCCCGCTCATGGAGAAACTCAAGCAAAACCTGAATGCGAGTTGAGGCACTATATTGACTGTCTGCCATTAATGTGAGGCCAGAGGATTCCACAGCTTGCGCTAATTCCTGTCCCTGTTGCATGACTTGGAACACGGTATTGTGTATGTGTGTAACACTGTCATTATGCAACTGGAGATGCTGCTCTGCCGCTGGCACTTCATGGCTGAGCTCCGTGTGTTGCAGCTCCTCTGCCCAGATTTCGAGCTGGGACGACACCTCGAGGGCGTCCCTCTCGAACAGCCTGAGCCTCAGGCAGAGGTCCAGCTTGAGCTTGCGTGTCGACCACAGCTGGTCCAGCTCCTCGCGCTGCTTGTTGAGGCGGTCTAGGGACGTCTCCACCGCCCCTACCGAGCCAGTGGTGTCCATGACAGCATTGTGCAAGCCCACACTCCTGCAACAAAATAAAATAGACATTTTTTAAAACAAATATATATTTTTTATTTGTAATAATTCAGCATTGCTAATGGCTGTCGTTTTAAAATCATTGGATTCAACGGGATTCAACGAGTTTTTTGGTGACCAACCTGAGCTCCTGCAGCAGGGCCTGTCCGTGCGCTATCGCCGCGGTGCACTCGTGCAGGGAGTGGTCTCGCTGGCGCTGGCACTCCTCGAGGGCTCGCTGCGCGCCCTCCGCACAGTCGACGGCCTCCTCATTCTGCACCTCCTGGCGAAGCTCATCCACCCACGTGGCCAGCTGTCGAGTCAGAAACACAGTTTCACAGTCAGGAACCGAACACACAGCAGAGGCACTCCTCATAACCGGAGATAGAGGCAGCGTCACTCGTCGTAAGGCGACGCGCACCAACGACACAATTTCAAGAAAGTGGTGCAGTTTTAAATCACAAATCTCTAGCTAAGTCATGAGCTAATTATATGATATTTTTAGACGGCAAAATTAATTTACCTCAATTGAAAAACGAGAGTAAAAGCTGCTGACATCTTAGACGAAACATGTGTACTTACATTTGGTCATGTTTAGTATAAGTGTTAGATCATCCTCTAAAAAAAAAAAAGGACTACCCTTCAATCTTTATTTATTATGGCCCCCTTAGGACATGTACTATTTAACGTCTGGAGTTCAGAAGTAAGGTGCCTCAAAAGAGTACCCACCCCCACCTCCTCGGATGACGTAAGTTGAGTGGGCGGGGCGGGGGGTGCTCACCTCGTCGCGGTGCGAGTAGAACTTGGCGGCCAGGTCGAGGCGCCGCCGCCGCTGGTCGACGCGGGCCGCGAACGACGTGACGTGGCTCTCCAGCTCGCGGGCGACGGCGTAGATCTCGTTCACGTCGCACTCGCCCGTCCGGGCCAGCTCCTCGGCGGCCGTCAGCAGCTTCTCCGCGTTGGTGTAGGTGTTCTGAAAGCACACGGGCAAAAAGCACACACATGGGCAAATCAGTTTCGGCGAAGAGTCAATTAGAGCGAGTCGACGATCACGGCCGGGCCAGAGGTGTGAGAGAGGCGCCTCTGGGGTGGAGGGAGGGGGGGCGCGCGGGGAGGAGGCGGAGAAGGGCTTGTTGTGGGCGGCTGCAGCGGCGGCGGGAGGGTGCCGCCGAGGGTGTCGCCCCCGGGGCCGGCGTGGCCGGCGTCACGGTGAAAGGGGATTACAGGCGAGTAGCAGCATAGCGGTTCGGTCCGGCCCGACGACGGCGACGACCACAGTAGCGGCGGGTGGCGCCCTGGCGCCCTGGTGGCGCCTCCTGGCGCGACCGGGGCACGGGTCCGCCGCCTGGGGAGGAGGACGACACCGCCACGAAGGCCGTGATGCTACAAGATGTAACGGGGCACGTCACAGCACAGCCGACGCGACACGAGCAAAAACAATGCGCGCCCAAGAGTGAGAAGAAGTGCGGGCGTGCGGGGCGCGGGCGGGAGCAGGGCACACTTCGCCTCCTGCCTGTGTGCAAAGACATGAGGGGGGAAGGGGTGCCACCATTGCTGACCGCACGGCCGGCCGGGCGGGCAACGTATCGCGGGGCTCGCGACCACAAGATTGGGAAAGGAGAGAAGGAGGGGCGGGGGGAACACGACGATACGTCCAGTTTCCGCACTGTTATAGTAGTGTGTGCACTCGCGACGCGGACGATGTGAACCGTCCCGATTTTGCCGTCCCCCGGTCTGCCGGCCCGCCGGTCCGCGGCGAGAAAGGGGAAACGGCGTAGAGAAGAAGACGGAAGAGTGTCGGCGGCGGCGGGCAATAATCGACTAGGCGTGCTCCTCCGGCCTGCCAGGCTCGTTGTAAAGCTTTTTGCTGTTCCGCGTGCAACCAGCCGTGCAACCGACACAGCGAGAAAAACAAATAGCAACCAGTCCGGCGCGGCCCCCCGCTGCTGCTGCTGCCCGAGCACACAGACAACGCGGCGAGGGTCATCATCTCCTAGCACGCCCTGGTCGGCCCGGCTCCCCCTACGCAGGAAACTGTCATGAGGGGAGGGAAGTCCTCGACTAGGTGCCGGATCCTGGGTGGGGTGAGCCAGGGCGAGGCGGGGCGGGGCGAGGCGGGGCGGGGCAGGGCCAGTGGCACCCCGCCCTGCTGCGATAGGTATAATGACGCCAGCAGCAGGTTCAAGGAGGGCAGGCCCCTCCTGCCTGGACACTGGGCGGGGTGCGGCCTGATCCGCTCCACAGCACCGAGACTCTCCCACGCCCAGCAGCCTGGGGGTCTCCTGGGGTCGTCGTGATGGTCGGGTCGGGGGGGCCTTACACAACAACATACCCGGTGCACGCGCGCGCACAT